ATATTATATTATATTATATTATATTATATTATATTATATTTTATTTTATTATATTGTATTATTTCCATCATAAAAGTTCGCCTCCATTTGGCCGAGTGCACGGGATGTGTGCGTGCATGTCTGTGTGGTTGACATTGAGCAAAGCTGCTTGCTCGACAATTTGCACTTTTGCATACAAGTTGGTAATTGTTTCCGCCCAAATAGTGCAGCTGCTCTCACATGGCAGCGTGAGTGAGTGAGGGAGCAGGAGCAGGAGCAGGGGCGGCCGCGGGTGCAATTATGGCCGCGAGCCCCATTTTAATCATTCAAAAGTCAGCGAGAGCGTCACCCGTGAGGGCAGCTGCGTCCATTTCGGGGTCTGTCATCTCGGCTCGGCTGTTGTCGCTTAACCAACTTGTGCAACAATTCAGCGTACATTGCTTTCAGCTCTAAATGAGACATGAAAAGACACGAAACTTTTCTCATTACGCTCACAGAGGCAGAGAGTTTAAGCCACTTATGGACGCCCAAAAACAAAAGTGCCAGCACCCCCAAAGAGGGGCAGAGAGGAGAGGCAGAGCGGGAGATATACAATCTACAATCAGGCTGAAGGTTGTGCAAGTGCAGTCAGCTGGAGGGCAAAGTCAACGATGCGGGCAACTACCTGCGCTCAGGTGAGGCTGCCTGGCTGGCTGCATGCGAGAAGCCAAGTTTCTGGGCGCAAGCAAATTTTCGCGTCAAGGCAAAACTTTCAATGCATATTCAACATCATTAGGAAAGTCAGGACAAAGTAGCTCGTCCTGGGGCGCGCGGCAAGGCCGAAGACGGGGCGGCAGGTGGGCAGCCATGTCATTTAGGCGTTTATTCTCTTAAATATAGTGAGACAATGCTTGAAAAAGTACAACTATCCAAAAAAAAAAAAAAAAAAGTTAACTATACATATATATACATACAAGTACATATATATATACATATGGAACAAAACTAACACTACATGATTTCGCAGGCACAGCAGCGACCAGTCGGTGCTGTGTCGGAGCCGGGCTCGAGTTCGAATTGGCAACGGATCTTGGATCGCTTCTTCAACGACGGCTGCTTCAACTTTGGCTGTGGCTGTGGCTGTGGCTGTGGGTGTGTCTGTGGCTGCTGCGGCTGCTTCCGGTCACCCACAGACTCGACGATGTTCGGCTGCGCTTCGGCTAGGGTCTTGGCCTGGAGGCGGCTCTCGCTCCAGATGCCATCGTAGCGCGGTCCGTATGAGACATCCTCACCAGCAGCACTGCTCCAGCGTGTGTAGTTGGCCACTGGCAGTCGTGGTTTAGCTAGGACAGTGGAACAACATGAATGGGTTACGACCACACCATATCGGCTACCTACAGTCCTCGACTATTTTGGCGGCCAGCAGGCCGTTTCTTACGCCGGGCACAAAGTCGGGTGCCTCCGGATTGAGGCGTTTGTCCAAAGTGCGGCTGCCGCTGGGCAGGACCCTGGCATCGTCGCCCTCCGAGTGCATGCCCTCGGGGTCGGAGCGTTCATCCCCCTCGGTGGTTGTGCCCACATCAATACCTTCGCTGTCGTTGCGCATTCTTCCTAAATTCGTTTTCCTTGCAGCTCTGCAATCTTGAAAAAAAATAAATAATTCAAACGATTCGAAAATTTAGACTCACACTGAACATATGACAATATATGTATATGTACGTGTGTGTCAAGGATGGCGACCCCTGAGTGGTTGCTCCTTGCTTCGATGTCAAGCTGCTCGCACTTTCCTTGACGTTCTTGTTGTTGATGTTGTTTTCGAAAGGCTGTAAGTTCCCTAATCTCGGGAGCTTAATAAAAAAAAAATTTACAAATTTCGTTTCACATTGGAGTTACATATTTATTGACAGCGGTATATGTGATCACAATTTCAAAGCTATACTGAAATTTAGTGAAGTCCCAAGGAAAACTACAAAATCAAACACAATATACGAGCATTGATCAATTTCTCTATTGTTTTTACAGTTTGGTTTGCTGTTATTTCTGTTGTTCTATTACATAATGGCAATACAAGTGCAGGTGCAGAGCTTTGCAAATTATATTTTATACATTTTTCGATATCGTGTGCATTGACTGACGCCATTGTTGGAAGCTGCACTAAATAATAACCTTTTGTGAGCCTTTTTTGGGCAGTTGAGTGTTGTCAGAGGGAGAGGGAGAGGCGGGGGCAAATCAAATAAATATTGTGCAATAAGAAGCAAGCACACACATGCACAATGCACAATGCAGCTGGTTTTTAATGCTATTGTACTATTGGCAACTGCCACGCCCACCAGAGTAAACAGCAACTATCGCATACTGCATGGATAGCATGTAAAACCGTTATCCAACACTGGCGGGGAAAAAAATAAAGGCAAAGCTCTGCAACGGGACCTGCCAAATATTTTGCCGAGCCAAATAAATCCATTTCAATACCAATGCCAGAGAGGGGAGGAGGAAAGAAACGAGAGGTAACCAAAAACCCGCTTCAAATCGATATGAATCGCTGCGAATGCGAGCTGCGAGCTGGCACAGTTTGAGTATTAGTGGATTAGAGAGTGCAGCGAACTCACAAAAGCCCTGAGACCCAATGCGAAACCGCACAAACAACAAACAACAACAACATCAACAACAGCAACAACAACAACAACAACGACAACACAACGAACAATAACATTGTAAATAAATCAATGTAAGCAATCGAAACAGTTGTCGGTAAATTGAAATTTGAAATGCAATGCTGCAGCCTCCGCCTGGACTATCTCCCACACGTTCCCCGCCCGAAATCTTGGGGCCACGCCTAGCATTGCCGGGAATGTAGAGTCGGCTGACAGTTAAGGGAATGCAAGCAAGATGAAGAAGAACACATTGTAAGCGCTGCACATTAAGCGTTAATTGACAAAATACCTCGACCTAGGCTAGGCTCGACTCTGTGCGTTACACAACACTGGCAGCTGCCAATGCCGTCCAGACCAACTCTCGACCGAGAGTCCGGCAATAAAAAAAAAGTGAACCGACAAACTGAGTGTGTGCAAAGGGCATATGGTAGAACAGACAAACTGACAGACAGTGGGCATCATAGGCATTTATATGGATAAAATGATTTTGTGAAAAAAAAGTACGGAGAAAAATAACAGAGACTTTATAGTGCTTGAGAAACTAAGTGAAAATCATAGATAATTTTTACTTGAAAAAGCCGAAAGCGCAAGTTTAAGTTAGTTTAAATTTTATATAAACCCGAATGTAAATTTAATAAATATATTTACTGATCTAACATCGTAGTTTTATATAATATTTTAAATTTTAGAAATATGGTATTTTATAATGTGGAATTTTATTAATATGCCACCGACTTTTTCCTAGAAAGTCTTTTTAATATACATGAATGTTAAAATGGTTCAAATATGCCTAGGACTCTTTCCAAGATATAGATAATCTTTATACATATACATACATCTACATGATTGTTGAAATTATATAAATATGCCTTAGCTTCTTGTCTAGTATATATGTAGATTTGGATATTCTATGTACTTATACAAAAACCATATAAGCCCTGTCAACTCGTGAACTTATCAAGGAACTCAGGCACTATTCGACTATTTCGAGTTATAAGCTGAATATGAAAAACAGAACTACTCGATAGTTATATAGCTTAAGTATTTACATTATTGCGCCTATCGATAGAACTTGGCATAACAACAATCGATAGCTAAGTAGTACATATAAGAACGATATTTATATATGGCAACATGTCTGGCTTATTTATTTGTCTAAAATTCATATCTTCATCAACATATCTCCTTCCACAAACTTTCATCACATTTTCAGCCTGTCACGCCCATTGTGCTCGTCATTCGCATCTCAACTCTTTGCTCACCAATTTTGGGTGTCAACTCAGCGATTGTCTTGGACGTGGGTGAGTGGATCGTGGGTGTGGGTGTGGCATCGTGTGACGCGTGTCATGTGGCACTGCACCAGCGGCTGGACAAGGCAGACAGTCAAAGAAGAAGAAAAAGAAGAAGAAGAAATAGTAGTAGTAGATTCACTGTAATGAAACAAAAGCCTGGGCACAACTCAAACTCGGCCTGGACTGTCGACTTTTCCCGTTTCAGTTTCAGTTTCACTTTCAGTTAACAACGAGCAAAAATAGACAGAAGCAAATGGCGCTTGAGAGGGAGGGGGGGCTGTAGGTCCGTCCAAATGGCATGTTAACGCTGTCCGGTTGCTGCTGGCTGCCATTTCACACCGCGCAGATTTTATGTACTGTGAAATCTTCAGTGCGCCGCCACGTTCAAAAAACTTGCGCAATAAAATAAAGTAATTAAAAACCGCAATTTCCAGAAACACAAAACGGCCCAAGAGAATTGGCTAATCTGCTGCAGTGTTTTTATTGAGGAAATACAAGTAGGTAAATGCCAAGCAGGTGACCCCCGCGCCCAGCGGGAATGGAGAGCCCTTAGAGAGAGAGAGAGAGAGAGCGAGATATAGGGAGTGGGAGCGAGAGCATTTTTATGATGGAATTACAAATTTTAATGTTTGCTTGTTTGTAATTAAATTTGGCTTTTTGTGTGTGTTTTTATAGTGACTTCTGTTGTTGTTGTTGTTGCTGTCGTTGTTTTATGTGTGACTTTTATGGGCGTGACACGTGAGCTATTTTTATGACATTGAAACGGAGGCCGTTGCCATTGTTGTCCCTTTAAACTTTGTAATCACGCAAATGCGCCCGCCGGCTAGTGAAAAATTCTAATTAAAATAAATTGTCGTCAAAATGGCTGCATTGTGGCGATAATGTCAGCTGAATGTTGCTCAAATTAAATGTAATTGCGATTGATTGCAGCCTGGACTAGAATGGCCAGCCATCGATATGTGGGTCAAAGTGTTTTGCAACACTGCTCAGCCCCTTCGAACTATTCGCAAAGTCAACAGCTCCTCCATTGGTATCTGACTGTCACGCTTTCTCTGCAGTCGCGCGGCTGGGCAAGTGTTAAGGGCAAATAGCTCAGAGCAGCAGTGCAGTCAAACACTTTACAGCACTGGCCACTGCCACTTGCAAACTTAAGCACAACACTGGCTGGCGACCGAAAAGTAAACAGCAGCACAACTGTCCCAAGTGACGGAAAACTTTTGCCAACAATAAGTTTCGAATCATCGCCGGCATGTTCAATTGCTGGCGCTTTCTCTCTCGCTCTCTTTCCCCCTCTCTCTCTCGCTCTGTCTTTGTTACAGCCTCGTTTGTCATCCATCAGTGAATGAAAAGATTGCAAACATTTCAAATAGACACAAAGTGCCAGACTCTCGCTAGCTTCATTCACTCAGCCATTGCCATTGCCGTTGGCCGCTAGCCGTGGCTACATGTCAATTTGTTGCGTATACGCCACATGGGACAGCCAGCGGCTGGCGTCCAGTGGTGGCCGCCAAATGTTAGCCAGCGCATTGGCAATTGCGAGTGCTCTGCATAACTATGAAATGCACGGCAGCCCAGCGCAATTTCCGGCCAAATCGAACGCACTCGTTGCCATTGCTCGCGTGTTTTTGGTCCACCCCAAGCGCGCCCGGCACTGCGAATGCTTTGAACATTTCAAATATTTACAGCTCACACGGCAATGACACGCCAGCTTTAAGCTTTTGAATTGTCTCTAAATTTGTGATGAGCTTTAAGGCGCTTCAGAAACTGAGTGAAGCCTTGAAGAGTCTCACGTAGCACTGTGAGAGCTAAGAGCTACAGCTGAAGTCCATCCACGTTAAATTCGCCTTTTCAGCTTTTCAATTATCTATGATTGCACTAAATTATGTATAAAAACAGTTGAGATATTTACTTATTGCTTGGGCTCTCATGATTCGATTGGGTTTTGGTACTCGAACAATTTTTGCTGTGCCTCAGTCGAATCTTGCGCCCTGCTCTGGCTGGCTCTGGCTCAATGACACATGCCAATTACGGATATGTATTTTTGATGATGTTTAACGTATTCAGCTGGCATTCATTTGACCTTTGGCTGGACAATACGGGGTGCTTCGATAATTTGTCCTTGGCCGCGTTGATGAATCATTTAACAGAAAGTCTTGTCATTTCCGTTGTATTTGGTCAGAGTAAAAAAAGAGGGAAATTTTTGCAGGAGTCGCAGGTGAAGCGGCAGTGGGAGCGGGAGCGAAAACAATAAGCAAATGTAAATCAACAGAATGAAAAAGGCATTCAAATTGTCAGACGGGGCGTTAAGGACAAGCACCGAGATTATTAAATCCCTACATGACAATCGACAGCAGCAGCAGCAGCAGCAACAGCAGGAGGAGCAGGAGCAGTAGCGGGAACAGCAGTACGTCGGTCCTTCAGCCACAGCGTTGACAGCATTGTCAGCGTTGTCAGCGCCAGTTCTCGCGCTCGCCAGCAGCTCAACTTATTGTCCTGGATGCCACGACAAGGACACGGCCGGCACAGTCAATAATGCCAAAGTGGCGCCAGTGAAAGTTGCCTTCAGAACGACGAGACGAGACGAGACCAGACGAACGAGACGTGCTACTGTCATATGTGTTCAGGTGCAATTATACTTTTTTTACTTCCTCTTTTGCAGCTTTTGAATTAAAGGCAATTATCCTTATGTAAATGTTTCAGCTTCCACTGACAGCTGGCGATGGCCACGGAACATTTTTCCCACAACTGCTAATAGCCCAAAGGTGTCCATTGTTGAAAACCTAATTGCCTGATAAAACTATGTCAATAGGCAATATGTTATTAGGCAAGGTTGATTAAGGATGATTTGTCACATTATATATAAGATTGCATTAGT